GTCCAGTGATGGGGACTGTGGGAATCAGGAAGTACAAAGCTGGCTCCACACCTCCAGTGAAAAGATTCTAGGATCTGGAATCTAGTGGAATTTCTATCATCAACTCCAAACACAATACACTATCCTCTTCCACCTGTGACCCCCCTTGCCCCAACAAAACTGACCAGGGTGCAGTACAATAATTTCTTGTAATATTTATACTCATCTACTATGAGGGAAGAACAGTGTCAGCTGTTTTCACATACATTGAACAGTTTAAGCCAGTTTACAGCACTGCAGCATAGATTCTAATTGTCCACATATTTTACTACATCACAAAGGTTAAATACAGCTAGAACTGCACGACTAGTACAGTAAGATGGAGATGTGAGCCCAGGTCTCTTTGGTTCGAAAGCCCGTGGGCTTTCCTCTGCTGTCCGTAAGGCTTAAATGCAGATGTATACGTGTGTATGCATGTCTATGTGTTTACTTATTGTAAACATGGCTTCATAGAGGCATCACATCTTAATGACAACACAGGAATCTCCTATGTAACACACATGAACAGGTATCTGGTTCAGACACTTCTACTTATCCTATCATCAGCCATGGCAGAGCCCTATCTTAAACTTATTCTTTTGTAGTCCCCAGGTGCTTAGCACAGTGCTAAGGTAGACAATGGGCACTCCTCACTTAATCTCATTGATAATTACATTGCTAAGATTGCTTATTAGTAATAAACCCTTAAATGCTGAAAGATGAATTATCACTAACATTGATCTAAAAGGAAAAGTTCCAGACACTGGCAAAAACACCAAGGGGGCCTAAAACGCATCTTGGCCGATAGAGTAGGTGTCCGACCGCTGGGTAAAAACAGTAACATCTGAACCTTACTAATAGTTTGGTCCCACTTGGTATTGTATCTTACAATCTCCATAGGAAACAGCAATCACGATGACTTATGGGAAGCCCTGGTTTTGTGAGTGGGTCCAACTTCAGGTGATTCTTTGGATCTGGGTTCTCTCCTCTGCAGCGGTTGCATACGATCCCCACTCAGAGAATGGCCATCAAGATTCCAGGTGTGTCTATAGACACACAAGGAATCCAATCAACCCAGGTAGCATCTCAGCCTCTCCTGTTGCTCTCTGTGTGTATAACCACTTCAAACTGGGGCAAATTCAGACCCGTGCCCTAATCCCAGCAATGCCCGTCAGTAGCTGTGCAACCTTAAGTCAGCTACCTAGCTTCTTGGAATCCCAGTTTCCTCATCTGCAAAGATAAAATATCACTTATCTCATGGGTTTGTTTTGTGGAGAAAATAAAAAAAATATTTGCATGTGGCTGTCCCATGCCTGATATGTTGAAGGAACTCAGTAAATATTAGTTGGGTCTAAAGGTGCACAGAACAGGTCTGACATACATACATCCTGTCGAACAGGGCTTGTGGTCAAACAAATGGTCATGGTGACAAGTTAAATGAGAAAAGGGAAGAGGTGCTAGTGAGAGAAGTTAAAATTAGAGACGATGTTTAAAAACCTCTCTCCTTTCAACCAGTAATTTCAGCCTGTTATTTATCTACTCTGTTGCTCAAAAGTTGGTCTTACTTAACTGACAGAGTTCTGCCTCCTGCCCTCCATACGTTCTGACAGAATAAGTAACAACTACAATACAATAGGGCAGGCATCCAAAAGGGGCCCTGGAAAGCTAAGAACTGGTTGTACTGACTTAGGACGGTCTGGTGAAAGGGGACAGCCTCTGGCACCTTGCACTGCCAACAGTTTCTCTATCCTCAGATGCTCCTCTAACTTAACAGTTTGGAAACCAGAAGCCACATCAAAACACTCTCAATAAAACATTTTTCAGACTCTAACCTGGTACCACAATTCTGAAATCCGAACCTAGAAAAGCTACAAAGAATAGCTCCCCTTTATTGAGCACCTGTGTGTGCCACACTCAGTGCTAAGCATCTGGCATATATTACATGAACAGGAATTTTTTCTAACATTTTATAGAAAAGGAAACTGTACTACCAGACATCCTCCAAAGCACTCTCTAAGCCCCTCAGCTGTTCACATGGCCTCAACGACTCAAGTCTGGATGACACGTGGAAATTTCTGCCCAAGGCTTCATGTCTAATCACAGGGCTGGATTCTACAAAACTTCATTACACACAATCATCCCAGCCCCACAGCAAAAGTGGGTCTGGGAAGAGGGTGGCTGGGACAGAGACAGGGAGGAGACTTTAATCCTTTAGGAGCCACCTCTGATTTGCTAATGGTCAGAGGCTGCCAGGAGGAGTGTGCATTTTCTTTCTGCACAATAATCTCTCCCAAAGAAAACCCAAAGTCACCTGGCCTTCCTAAGGAAGAAAAAAAAAGCTCTTCCTCCAAGATTCATACTGAACTCCTAACCCTTCCTCTTCCTCCTTACCCCAGGGAGTGGCTGAATGGTTGTTGTTTCTTTTCTTTTTTTCCCTATGGTCCTCTGGTAACACCACAAATTACGTTTGCAGGGACTCGAGTCCCAGAGTGCAATGATGTTGTAATAAACATAACCAGGACCAAATGCCTTCCCATCATATTAGATGATGCCATTTCGCACCAATCAGGTTCCTCGGGCAGGCAGACCACTCTCCAATGAGGGACCAGACAGAGGCTGTGAGGGGGAGACCTGGTCATCTGCAACTAAAAATAAGGGCGCTTCATGATTGGCCGCTGCCACTTTGCAACAGGAGTTGGGACCCACACACCAGGCACCATACAGAAAGCACACACAGGCAAAAACTTTCACAGCACAGGGGTTCACATGGGGTGGGCTGGGCTAGGTTTGTTGTTGCGTTGTGTGTGCTTGCCTGTGTTTCTCCTTTTCCTAATTTGCTGACTTGAAAAAAGAAATAAAGATTTGATCCAGAGGGGCCCCTCGCAGACACACCCTCCCTCTTGGACACCTCAGTTTCCAAAGGCCATTTGCAGCCGCCCTGAATTGAGGAAAGGCAAGGGGATGTCGGCCAGGGGCCAAGACACTCACCTGTCCCGCCGTGTCATAGAGTCCCAGGAGGTACTGCTTGCCCCCTACGGTGACGCTGACTGCAAGGGCAGAAATGGGGGTGGGGAGAGAAGTTCAATTATCTAGGGTCTGGGGCAACCTCGCACCCCACCTGGACTCTTTTATCTCAACCCAGCCGGAGGCATGCGGCGCTCTCGGGGAGATGTCACCCCTTTTCCCTTGTGCCCTGTTAAGTGGTGTGAGGCCAGCGTGTGATGTGATCCCCGCTGCCCACTCTCTTCTCCCAAGTCCCGTAGCCACGTCTCGCCCGGTGCCCTAAGTACTTCCCCCGGGGGTTTGGGGCAGTAGGGAGGAGGCTGTGGGAAGGTCATGGAGGTCGGCCCAGGGCGTCCGGGGGTTGGGAAGTGCGGTGAGCTGGGACTGGGCCGGGGGTGGGGAGGAGTAGAAGAGGGGTCTACCGAGCCGGCGACTGGGAACGCCGGAGGGGAGGTCTGGGGGTGGGGCCGGGCGCCCGATAGAGGGCAAGGCGGGGGAGGGGTGGGGAGCGCGCTCGGGGGAGGCGGCGAGGGGGCTCTGCCAAAGTTGCTCCAAAGTTCCCGGCCCGGGGAGCGGCCCCTTAGTCAGCAGTTCCGAGGCTTACCTGCGTAGTGGTCGAAGACGGTGGGCACGTACTCCTCCGGGAAGGCGTCGTTGGCATAGCTCATGAGTAGGCACGTCTTGCCCACCGCCCCGTCGCCGACCACCACGCACTTGAGCATCAGCGCGCCGGGCCCGTGAGCCATGCTGCGGCCGGCCGGCCTCCGGGCATGGTCCCCCCGGAGCCCCCGCCCCGGCCCCGGGCTCAGCCCCAGCCCGCCTGGGGGGTCCGCCTCCGCCGCCGCTCCGCGCAGCAGGGCCGCCCCCCCGGCCCCATGCAGCGGCTCCCCCCGCCCGAGGGGAGGGGGCGGCGGGC